GTGTATATAAACCACAATTTCTTTATCCATTCATCAGTTGATGGACATTTAGGCTCTTTCCATAATTTGGCTATTGTTGAGAGTGCTGCTATGAACATTGGGGTACAAGTGCCCCTATGCATCAGTACTCCTGTGTCCCTTGGTCAGATTTTTTTTTTCAGGATTCCTTTTTGTTTTAAAATGGACCCAAACTCTGGGGCGCCTGGGTGGCTCAGTCTGTTAAGCGTCCGACTTCGGCTCAGGTCACGATCTCACAGTTCGTGAGTTCAAACCCCGCGTCGGGCTCTCTGCTGACAGCTCAGAGCCTGGAGCCTGCTTCATATTCTGTGTCTCCCCTCTCTCTCTGCCCCTTCCCTGCTTATGCTGTGTCTCTCTCTGTCTCAAAAATAAATAAACATTAAAAAAATAGGTTCTCAGTAAGGATTTCTTGAAGGAAAGCTAAGAAAGTCAAAATTAAAAGCGAATAAAAAATTTGTTTAAAAAAATAATAAAAAAATAATAAAATGGACCCAAATTCAATGATATAAAGGAACTCATAAATGTATATATGTTAAGTTTTTACTTTGATTGATATAATCAATTAATGCAGAAGCCAGAAAGTAGTTTTTGGTATTGTAGATTCTCCAACCAATTTACTGTTCATTTTTCTACTGTCAGGTGGGCATCTTGTAGCTCTACCCCCATGGGCTTCTCACTGCAGAGCTGAGTTGTAGGAGCCAAAGGTTTTTCAGGTATTTATAAAATGAGTTGTAAACCATGTACTCTTATACACAAATAAACTGGCCCTATGTCCTAGTGGGATTTCAGTCCACACTGAATTGTAGACAAATTATAAAAGCAGATTTAGCCGCACTTGAAAGAGGGTCCACACAAGCTTTATACATAAGTGCAATTGATTTCCCAGTTCAACAAATAATTTTACCAAATATTTCTAATCTCAAGAGTCTAAAACCTGAATAAATTAGCCTTACCTCTTGATCAGCATAAACTGTTAGTTAAGTTAGCAAGTGGCAATAAGGTTTATATGTTATTGTATGGTAGGCATTGTTGCACCACAAAAGGGGAAAATGTTATTAAAGGAATTTGAATATATTACTTTAAGACCATCAGTGGAAATACTGATAGATTGTTGCTCTTATATCACATGATACTTAAAACCTCTGTTTTTTCAGGTATTTCTAGAAATTCCCCTATATGAAAGATTTACTGATATATTCTAGATGCTTTCAATGAAGAATTCATGGTGATTACAGTATTTATAGTACTACAATTTCTTGCTAGTTATTTATTTACAGATGATCAATTCCAGGAACTAGCTTTATTAGGTATCTGATATTGAATACTTTCAAGAAAGCTTTTAAATCATCCCTACATTTATAAGGCATTTCCTTGTTTCTTGGATTACTTAAGCACTCTCATTTCTGGAAATACCTAATCAAAAGCATTAAATTTAAAACAATTGTAAATTGGAGTACTGAGGTCTACAGAAGTGCAATTACTGTATCAGTTCACCAGTATGGCCCTATTTGCCAATAAAAGCACTGAAATTGTGGTTCATATTTCCAGCAAATCTTTGTTGAAAGCCACAAACTGGATAATGGTAGGAAAAATTATTCTAATCATATCTCTATTGTCATAATAAGGCAGGCCCATTCCTTTTAAAACCAAAAAAAAAAAAAAATCTAAGAACTTTCTAAGCTAGAAACCTAGGATTCCACAGTAGTCTCAATACACATTCCAGAATGGTGGGAGTTTGTCATGAACTCTTTGGTTAAATTGGCCATCATCTCTTTTAAAGAACAGGAAACAAAACTTCAAGGACTACAAAGACTGGAAGATAATTTAAGTTAAGTGATGTGAGCCCCCTGGTGAATGGGCATAGGACACATAGTGGCAGGAAGGAATCAATTGGAGAGCACAAAGCTTGCCTAAAGGCAAAAATGGTTACACATTTTCAGGATATTGTTGCCAACCAGGAATATATTCTACAACATTGTGAGAAATTCAAGTTTTTCAAGAAAAGAGCAGATCAAGGATTTTATTTGCAACCACCTGACTTTTACATGCTGCCTCATGTTTCTAAATCATTTTCACATATTTGGACTGGATTACACTTTGGAGCTACCAGTTTGCCACTTTGTCTAGAAGTCTGAAACATCAGTGGTATTTTCTTATTAGAAAAAAATGAGATAGTTTCCTGCTAAGATTTTGTTTAATATGTATTTATTCTTTGTGGGGTTTTGTTGTTGTTGTTGTTTGGTTGGGGTTTTTTTTTTTGTTTGTTTGTTTTTGGGGTTTTTTGGGTTTTTGTTTGTTTTGTTTTGTTTTTTGAGAGAGAGGTAGGGGGAGAGACAGAGGGGGAGGGAGAAAGAGAATCTTAAGTGGGTTCCAAGTCCAGCACGGAGCCCAGCACAGAGCCCAACGCCAGGCTTGATCTCACAACCGTGAGATCATGACCTGAGCTGAAAGAAATCAAGAGTAGGACACTTAACTGACTGTACCCAGGCACTCTGATCTTGTTCTTTTTAGATAGTACTGCCCAATTAGCTGGTAGTCACATTTGTCTGAGTCACAGAGTGAATTTTGTGCACCCATTTATACATTCATTATACTAAATAACCATGAGAAACAACATCATGGTTTAATTTATATATTTTTATCATATAATAAAGTACATCTTGAAGGGGTAATATACTAAGTTCAGATGTACCATCTTGATATTAGTTTTACTATAATCACATCAAAGTGGATGGGTTATAACATCACCACTACTTTTTGACACATTCAGGAAGGTATTCAGTAGCATTATTCTAACAAAACTGAGAATAGAGACAAGGAACAAAATATTATTTAGTTTTTCAAACCTGTGGCTTTGACCTATAGAAACATATGCTATGGTGGTGCATGGGTGGCTCAGTCAGAGGAGTGTCTGTCTCTTGATTTCAGCTCAGGTCATGATCCCAGGGTCCTGGGATCAAGCCCTACATCAGGCTCTGTGTTGAGCATGGAGCCTGCTTAAGATTTTCTCTCTCACTCTGCCCCTCCATTACTTGTGTGTGAGCTCTCTCTCTCAATAAAATAAAATAACATAAAATAAAATTAAATTAAATTAAATTAAATTAAATTAAATTAAATTAAAATTAAAAAAGAAACATGTTATGGATGAAAATGCAATGTCTATGGAAAACTATTCACTCTCTGAATTTCTTCCTGAATGGCACAATATTAATCAATTTTTCTTCATCATCATCATCATTTTTAAAAAATGCATCTAACTCCTCTCCATGTAACCAACATTAAATATAGTCATAAGAGTATGTAGACAGAAAATGATGGAGAGAAATGAGGTGATAGAAGACAGAGATAGAGGGAAAGGGGGAGGCAGAGGGAGAGAGTTGTATGCTATTGGTTCTGTTTCTTTGCAGAACTCTGACTAATACAGCAAGCTGCTGTTTCTGCTAAATTCTATATGCCCTACTTAACAACTTTACAGATTTTTTTTTCTTTTCAGTTTTTATTTGTCTCTGCCCAAAATGACGAAATTTATATTTATTCACAATAAGCCTTATCTTCTTAGAGTCAATTCATTATTCCTGGCTGAATGATTCTTTTGAAGGCCTGATTCTGGTATCCCATGTATTCACTGTCTGCCTATCTTTGCCTCAAATACAGAAGATAGAATCATATTTGCTTCATCAAGGTTAGTTTTTGAAGTCAGAACAATGTAAAAGTTAGTTGATTTTCTAAGGAAATGGTCTACACCAACCATAGTCAACATGCATGTTGGAGCGTTGTTACTGGTTGTTTTTTTTTCCCCCAAGCATAAAAGCTACCTTACTAACTCTCTGAATCATACTAGACAAATTACAATGCTCAAATTGAATGACATGGTTTATTCTTACCTACCTTATTAAAGTTCCAGAAGACCAAGGACTTTGAATGAATAATCCCAAATCAGTGTTGAACTGAGCCCATGTACTCCAAGGGGATTTAGACCATCTGCTAATTCTGCTGGGCAAAGGCTTTCTTTTACATATGCTCAGGTTTGGAGAAGCAGAATCCAATTTGCTTCCAGCTCCTATCTTTTCATCCTACAGTTAAATATTTTGTTTATGTAAAATAAACTTTTGCAACCATTTTGCATTATTTGGAATCCACTTTATTGCTTCCCCACAACAAACATAGATGGGTATATTAAGAAAACTAAAAAAGTATTTTGCAAACAGACAATTCTTTCTTACTATCTGGTGTCCTTTAAAAATTATTTCCTGAAGCATTTGTTAACCTTTACATAAACAGTTATTAGGTCAAACAATTTTCCATTTTGCCCAATAAATATTTTGGAAGGTGACTGTTATTACATTTTAAAATATGACAGAAATATATTGGTATTCTCATCTGACCACCCTTCCCATCCCCCCTACCCTTTTTCTGAACACAGGCATGTGTAGTAAGCCTTTCACAAACAAGGAATCCATTCAGGACTTAGGTACTTGGGCCATTTTCCACTCAACAGGTTTCCTATGCACTTGTAGGTGCCAAACAGCAACTCCTGTGTTCCTCCAAAAGAATTCTTAACAGAGAGGGGATTAAACTCTAAGTGGCTTCCTGATTTCACCATTTCTGCAGTCCAGTGTTAAGTTGCTGAAAGATTACTTCATTTGTACCGTCAGGAGCCTAACAGGCTTTAGAAACTAGGTGAGTGATGTAATGATTGTGTGTGTGTGTGTGTGTGTGTGTGTGTGTGTGTGTGTGTGTGTATGAAATATTGGAGTAGTTAGCAATCTGTTACATTAAAAGCATATAAACATTTTTGAGCATCTCTTCATTTTTTGAAAATAACTTTTCTGTGATGTTCTAAATTTCAAATTAAAATGCAAAATGTGAGATAAAAATTACTGTAATTGCAATAATAGTCTGTAGAATAAAAGAGAAAGAAAATTAGATGAATGCATGTATTTGCCCAATACTAATACTCAACTCCACTAGAAGCAAATATTTACTCATTATCTGAATATAAAAAGTAAAATGTTCTTAGGGTGGTAATGTACCTATAAATGTCCAATCTATAAATGCCAAAAGCCATATTGCAACAATGGCTCCACATACTATATCCAATCAGATAAATATATCATCAAGAAGAAAAATGAAACAGAACTCACATTGAATGGAAGACTCTCCAAATTATAAAACTTGAAATTATCAAACAGGAGCAAAATCATTAAAACTATTGCTTTTACAAACATAATCAGTCATCTGGAAAATGACTTTTATACAGATATAATAATTTCCTAAGAATAAATTGTGCAAAGTCCAATCAATGCTTTCAGGTTTGTGTAAACCATGCCTAGGGCCATCTTGGTAGAGATTTCTGGTCCTAATTATCATCCAGCATATTCTGTGCTCTCAGAAGCAGGGGCTGCTGAATAACCACATTTGAACTACATGATCATGCAAGGTTATTTGTGAAAAATGTATTTGACTTGGCCCCACAGTTGAGCTCTCACCTTAAAATCAAGAAGGTGCATTCTTGGAATAAACAACTTCAAAAGAGTCCAGTTTTAATTGCTACTTCAGTGAGACATCAAAATCCCATAGGAAAGAGTTGTTTTACTGATATTTATGCTAAGAAATTTTCCGTCTTTTCAAAGCTTGTATGCCTTCCCCAAGTTTTCAGAAATGCAGGCTAGAGAGATTAAGAAGGATCAGGAAGCAAATAATCCATGTAATCTGAAATTAAGGAATAAAATTAATATCTTTGATAGTTTAAGCCTATTTTTCAATTAATTTTATAGTGTGTAACTCCTTTATTAAAAGGGTAATATTCTGGCCAGGGATACATGTGGGTCTGTTTTTATCAATAGCCATGTATTTTGTTTAATGAGGACTGGCCACAAGGTCTATTGTACTAGATACTTAGTTTAGAAAATCTTCTAAAGTTCACATTTTTTTCCTGAAGCTCGCTATATTATTACATTTGTTTATTTTCAGTCATGGCTACAATAGGTGGTTTCCAACTACTTCTAAACTGACTTAAGGGATATTATAAGTAAGAGGAATAGATATAACAAAGCTATTATGAAAATTTCAAAGGATAAGAGTCAAACAGTCAAAGATGAATGTAGTTTAAGCCTCTATAAAGGAGCACTGAGTAAAATATGAATAGTATCTTCAACAGCAACTTTGTAGAAAATGAAGAAAACATTCTTTTTTATACTGTTTCTTATCACTGCTTCTAAGAAACATTTGAGAAGAAAAAGTGATAGGAATTTTTTCTTTCCTGTAAATCTCTCAATGGCCTTCTGAGAATTTTCCTTTCTCGCAAATCTTAGCTCTCACTTTCTACAGAAGTCATCCCTGTGCCAGTTGTTTTTAATTGCCTTCCTAATATCTGTTCACTCCATCTCCCCTTCTAATAGAATGCAAATTAATTTTGTGGGTAATGTTTTGGCTTAAAAATACTTAGCTTTCCACAGTCCCACAAATCAGAGAGGGGCTTGAGATGCGGTTCTGGGCAAAGAATATATTGTATAAATGGCAGTTAAGTATTGGGCTTTTCAGAGTGTTACTGTCTTCATGAAAAAAAATGGGCAAACCCATCCAACATATCTTTTGCTCTTTGCTTTTTCCCTTTCTTCCTTCCTAGGATTGAAAAGTGATGTCTAGAAAGACAATCTCTTTGTTGTAAATATGAGAACAGCCTTGCATTAAGGATGACAATGCTGAAAGCCAGGGGGAGTCTGGACCTCAGTATCCTCATGTTACCATAACAGTCCTGGAATGTGATGAGATGAGATGAGATGAGATGAGATGAGATGAGATGAGATGAGATGAGATGAGATAAGATAAGATAAGATTACATTTTAACTGCCTTCTGTGACACAGTTGAATACAACCTTCAGTCTCAGACTTCCTTTATGTATGTACTTCAGGCCCATCTGGTTTAGCTGCTCCTCCTTGTTTCCATGGCATCCCCTACAATCCCAAACACAATCTTCTCTCCTTCACTGCATCATAAATTTCAGGAAGAGAGAGATCATTTCAAACTTTCAAGCACATGTCCCCAGAAACTTGCTCATGTCTATATAGCATGTAGTAGGCACCCGATACATTTATTAAACGGGGGAATAATAAATTATCAAATAAGTATAATACCCACTTCTCTCTACATCTACTTCTAACTATCACATCTATACAACTAGGGTTTTTTTTTAAACCTAGATATTGCAATAGCTTCCTCCTCACTTAAAAGCCCTTCCATAGCTTCCCATTACCCTTAGAATAAAACACAAATAACTTCCACATTCTGGGAAACCTGGAACTGCTCTGACTGCATGTCCTCTCATCTTCGTCATGACATTTTAGCCACACTGGCTTTCCATTGGTTGATGAAACATTCCAAGCTCATTCTTACCTTAAGATCTCTATGCCAGATGTTACTTTTTCACAGATTTTCACACACTGACTCCTTCTTGCCTTTCAGATTGCAGCTTAGATCACCTCCTCAGAGAGGCCACAGCTGACAGCTCAATCTAGAGGAACTCATCAGGCACTCCATCCCATAACCCTCTTGTGCAGCTGTGGAGAAAATTCCTTTATTGCTGCAAACTTATGGTCTTCTGAGAGAACATTTTACTGGAATTTGGCAGCTCGGCTAAAACACTATCTTTACAAGGTAATTTAGGACTGAAAAAATAACAAGAACTCCAGAGAGCTTTATGTCTCCAGAGGTAATGTGTTTACATTTCAAGGGGAGATGAGACCAGGACCATGGACATGTTCCAAAAGGAGGACCCAGGATCCTTCCCATTACTTTTCCAAGGAAACTCTCTCAAAAGGGGAGGAAATACAGCTGCCTCTCCCTCATGTATAAATGTCCAGGTTCATTTGGGGGGGGGGGTGGGGGGGGCCTCACCTACAATACAGACACCTTTGTGTTGAGTGACAACTGGCTCTCACTGCATTGTCCCAGAAGGAAGACACTGCAACACAAGGGAACAAGGACATTATTATTTGCTGTAAATAAATAATGATAAATCTGTCTCCTCCAGAAACCTCTTGTTGGCATTCAAGAGAATATTAATAAATATATCATTATAAGTCAAACGTCTACTAACTACGGTGGTCCACAAGTCTTTGCTATGTTTATAACTAGTGCCTAAAAGATCTCCTAGTATGGGATCAATAAACACCAGTTGGGTAAATAAATGAATCAATCACTAAAATGACCATTATTTTAAGAACTAGATTGTGTAGGGGCGCCTGGGTGGCGCAGTCGGTTAAGCCTCCGGCTTCAGCCAGGTCACGATCTCGCGGTCCACGAGTTCGAGCCCCGCGTCGGGCTCTGGCCTGATGGCTCAGAGCCTGGAGCCTGTTTCCGATTCTGTGTCTCCCTCTCTCTCTGCCCCTCCCCCGCTCATGCTCTGTCTCTCTCTGTCCCAAAAATAAATAAACGTTGAAAAAAAAAATTAAAAAAAAAAAAAGAACTAGATTGTGTAGCTTTCTAGTGAAAAACAGAAGGGAGATTAAAAATTGTAGAAAAATGGATGTTCATTTCAGGTGACCTCTTAGAGAATAGCATATGTAATATATATTTGAAATCTAAGGTTTTTATAAACGCTTGTAATGAACACATTTTGTTTTTTTAGTGGGCTGATTTCTTTATATTAGCTACTCCCTGTGTAGTTGACAAGGTTTTTATTTTTATGTAACATTGAATAATTTATCTGTATCCCTGCCCAGCTGCAGAGCAATTGAATCGGGCAAGACCAAGACTTCTCTCAAAAAAGCAGTTTCAGTTCTTCCCAGAGGTCTGAACAAGAACACAATTAAATCCTCAGAGTTCTGCACATACATTAACAGGAAAACTTTACAGCGTACTTCAGTAATTCTCCATCTCTGTCATACGATCACTGATGATAATTTGAGGAGGATTATACCTTAATGGCATTTCAGGATGAGTTCCTGTCAAAACACACTCTACAGAGCCTGCAGATTAGACCTGTGAAGCATCATGTCTACTCAGATATTGAAACACATCTTCAAAAAATAATCATGTTCATTTTGATAGAGTTGATATTGAACTTTTACTTCTGATAATATTTGTAGTATTTGCTCACACTAATCATCTCATTGTAGAAATAAAACAAATACACTGACATCATAAATATTGGGTAAATGGGGTGCCTGGGTGGCTCAGTTGGTTAAGCCTCCAGCTTCTGCTGGGGTCATGACCTCATGGTTTGTGAGTTCAAGCCCTCTGTTGGGCTCTGTGCTGACAGATGGGAGTCTGGAGCCTGCTTCGGATTCTGTGTCTCCTCTCTCTGCCTCTCTCCCACTCATTCTCTGTTCTCTCTGTTCTCTCTCTCAAAAATAAGTAAACATTAAAAAAAATTAAAAATAAATAAATATTGGGTAAATATAATTATTAAAGTTCCTCCAAATGGGATTGGACGTTGTAACACCCAATGCCTTTGGAAGGGTAACATTTGGGTAAGCAAGAATTAAGAATTTAATATTGTGTAGTTGTGTCCCTAGCATAATCCATAGAACAGAGTACCCTGATTGACAGTACGAACCTCAAGTCTTTTCAGCACATGTATTCCTACAGTAAAGAAGGGTACATACCAATCTATTAACATTATTTCTAAATATATCTAAATACATTTTCTCTGGGTTTTCTTAAAATCATCTGATTTCCAAAATAGCATTTCACCTGAGAAGAGGATGGGTTGATACCCCAGTATCAGTATTTCCAACCATTTATCAATTCAAAATAAATTAATTCATGAGGCTCTTATAGTTTGGTAGACATGAACTAGTCCTCCAGAGGCTAATACTTAGAGATAAATAAAAAATCAAATTCTTAAATGTACAAAAATGAGAAATAAGATTTGGAGCAATGATGACACTAAAAATATCACTATATTATACATTATATACCTTTGCTATTATGCTGTATACAAAATAATATTGAAAGGGTGATGCTCTTGCTAATTCCTAATCCTTGCAAAGAATATGTTTATGAAGGACTGAGGTGAAGGCCAGACAATTTGCAGGGCTCAGTGCAAAATGAAAACATTGACCCCTTGTTCAAAAGCAGGGGAAAAGCTTTTTCTGTTCTTCTATAGTCTCTCAAACTATCCTGGTAATTTTTATTTGCATTGAAGGTACTGCTTCCTTGGGAATGAGGATACCTGCCGGGCAAGTGCAGACCTTCACAAGTGTCCTGTCCACACCCATTCCTAAGCCCATGCTGTGAACAAAAGGCAGCAGAAGTCACTGGGTGGAGGCTAGGAAGTGGCCGGGCATGCAATCAGAGGAAATAAGGAGGTGACAGGAGGCAGAACCCTATGTGAGTAGAAGATCCAACACGTCAGTGAATACTTCCATCATCCCATCAGGATGAGTTTTGACTACAGAAAACAAATTTAAAGATAAAACTATTAAGAATTTCAAGATGACCACATTGTATCAAACCTTAAGCATGGGACCCTTTATGAATGCCCTGTTCACATGCCCAGGAACCTGGCCCTTCCTAAAGCAGTAAACAGTCTCCTATTCTCCTATTCTGGTCCTGGCTCTGGCTTAATTTGCCTCAACTATTTCTTTTTTTTTTTTTTTCTTTTTTCTTTTCTTTCTTTTTCTTTTTGTTTTTATTTAACATAAAGTGTAATATTAGTTTCAGATGTATACAATTTAGTGATTCAACACTTCCATACAGAACCTAGTACTCATCACAACAAGTGCATTCCTTAATCTCCATCACCTATGTAACCTCCTCCCCCCACCTCCCCTCTGTAAACATCAGCTTGTTCTTTATAGCGAAGACAAAGACTTACATTTCTTGGACTCAGTTCTAGTATTTTCAAGGTGAGAGTACAATAGATCATCATTAGTAGGTATTATATAATCAATGAAGATTAAAATGTTTTTAAATATGTAGAGAAAGAATTTTAAAGATGAAAAGAATCTTAAATTATGTAGCCCAACCCTTTCATCTGACACAGAGAAAACCAAGGCCCCAAGGGGCTAAATACTCAATGTCACCACCAGCTGGTTAGCACCAGGGCAAGGAATAGAGCCCACCCCATCTCTCTCCCGACCTGTACCTCCTTTAGAAGAGTCAAACAAGACAAAGAAAGAGAAATTTCATTTCACCAATAGTTTATACT